AATTCTGGGAGTTGAAGTCCACAAGTCTTAAAGTTGCCAAGGTTGGAGACCCCTGCCTTAGAGCATTTCAGAATGCATTACAGGTAGCTCTTGACTTACGACTACAATTGAGCCCAAAATTTCTGTTGTTAAGTGAGACCTTTGTTAAATGTATGTTACAACCTTCCTTGCCATAGTTGTTAAACGAATCAGGGCAGTTGATAAGTTAGCAACATGGTTGTTTAAGTGAATCTGACATCCCCATTGATTTTGCTTGTCAAAAGGTCGCAAAAAGGGACCACGTGACTCTGGGATACTGCAACAGTCATAAGTATGAACCAGTTGCCAAGCATCTGAATCAGGGGTGGGATGCTACTGGTTTGGACTGGTTCTATACAACTGGTAGCTCCCAAGAGCAGCTGACACCGGTTCTGTGTTTGCTGATCTTTGGCCCACCCGCCCGCCCGGGCTCTTACCTGTCCTTTATTTCCTGCTTTTTCAACCTCAGCTGCTTTGCATTTCTGAAAAAGCAGGAAAAAAGAGGCTTTTCAAACACTTGTGCACCCACGCACAGCGCTTGTCAGCTGTCCGGGCAGCACAACTGATGTTTTTTTTGCAAATGCTGCACACACGCAAAACGCACTTTCACCAAACCAGTAGTAACACCGGTTGAATCCCACCCCTGATCTGAATTTTGATCCCATGATCACGGGGATGCTGCAAAGGTGGTAACTGTGAAAAATGGTCATAAGTCACTTTTTTCAGTGCCATTGTAACTTTGAGCAGTCATTAAATGAACTGTTGTAAGTCAAGGGCTACTTGTATTGCTATATCCCATTTTACTTCATTTGCAGCATCATTTTCAGTTCAAAACATTCATGGCAGGGTTCATTCAACAAAACAAGGTTATTTGGTTAATGATGATTCAATCCTGTACATGAATTCAAGCCATTGAGTTAAGCCAGGGAACTATAAAAGTTGGCTAACCATTGTTAGTGCATAGGGTAAATATAGCTCCTCTCTTTCTATTGTTGCTTTACCTGTTTTGAAGCACCGTAGAATGCTGTGGATTTTAGAAAAGCTAATATTATCCTACTCTTCTCTTCCAACCAGACCTCCCTGAAACCTTAACTGAGCTACATCTGGACCACAACAAGATCCAAGCAATTGAATTAGAGGACCTGATCCGCTACTCCAAAATCTACAGGTAGTGTCAATAGGAGAGTCATTTGTGAAGAGTTTGCCAGGATTGCGCAGAAGAAATTTGGGGCAAAAGTAGGAAAGTCACTAATCTCTAGAAGTTACAGAGCAATTTCAGTCACCATTGGTGACACTATCTGCAGCTTTTATGAGTCGCAACATCTGGAGAGCCACCAATTAGGGTATGAATGAGATACAAGGCAATTGATTTGAGGCTTCGCAACATACAGATCAGAAATGAAAATAAACTTGAGTATTTTTTTTTTAAAAAAGGAAATTATCCTACCTCAAGTCTGTCCACAGCTCCTCATTCTAAGCAAGGAAGCCAAAGCAGTTCCCGCTTCAAAGTTAGAGAAGGAGAAGGAGAAGGAGAAGGAGAAGGAGAAGGAGAAGGA